CAGCAAGAAAAGCCTACAGTCACCAGAACAAAGGGAATAATCAAGATTCAAGCAGAAATCAATGAAGCAGAAAAGAGAAGGGCAATAGAAAAAATTAGTAAGACCAGAAGTTGCTTTTTTGAAAAGATTAATAAAATTGACAAACTACTGGCAAATTTAGCAAAGGAAAAGAAGGAGAAAATATAAATAACATGAGTAAGAAACGAAATGTGTTACATCATAACAGAACCAACTGAAATAAAAAATATTATCAGGATACTATGAAGAACTGTACTCCAACAACTTTGAAAATCTGGAAGAAATGGACACATTTCTAGAAACACACCACTTACCTAAGTTAACACAGACTGATGTGGAAAAGTTGAACAGATCTATAACAAAAGAAGAAATTGAACAGGCCATCAAAATATTACCAACAACAAAAAAAAGGCCTGGCCCAGATGGTTTTACCAGAGAATTCTACCAAACATCCAGAGAACTGATACCATTCCTACTCAAACTATTCCAAAACATAGAAAAGGATGGAATTGCCCCTAACTCGTTTTATGAAACCAGCATAACCTTGATACCTAAACCAGGCAAACACATCACTCAAAAGGAACACTACAGACCAATATCCCTCATTAATATACATGCAAAAATCTTCAACAAAATCCTAGCCAACAGACTGCAACAACATATCAAGAAAATCATTCATTATGACCAAGTGGGGCTTATATCAGGTATGCAGGGATGGTTCAACATTAGAAAAACAATCAACGTCTTTCACCACATAAATAAAACAAAGGAGAAGAACCACATCATATTAATTGATGCAGAAAAGGCATTTAATAAAATCCAACACCCATTCTTGATCAAAACTCTCAGCAAAATAGGAATAGAAGGGACATTCCTCAACACAATAAAGGGCATCTATGAAAAACCAACAGCCAACATTATTCTCAATGGAGAGAGACTGAAACGAATAGGAATCAGACAAGGATGCCTTCTATCAGCACTTCTATTCAACAATGTACTGGAAGTCCTAGCCAGGGTTATAAGGCAGGAAAGGGAAATCAAAGGCATCCAAATTGGTAAGGACGAAGTCAAACTATCCCCATTTGCTGATTATATGATCCAATAAATAGAAAATCCAACAGAATCAGTCAAAAATCTACTGGAACTAATTGAGAGATTTAGCATCATGCCAGGATACAAGATCAACATCCAAAAATCAATTGGATTCCTCTACACCAGCAAAGAAATTAATGAAAAAGAAATAAGGAAATTAGTACCATTTACAATAGCTACCAAAAAAAAAAAA